GCGTATATGTGTGTGCGTGTATGTACGTATATATATAATTTATGTATATTTATATGTATATACTTGTATACTTATATATATGTGGTTCTGGGTCTGGGTGTATATATATATATATATTTAAATATATGTATACTTATGCACACATATATATATACGTATACATATATATATATATATATATCTCTTCTTTTTACATTTATGTATATATGTGTGTAAGTATGCGTATATATGCAGTTTGTGTAATATTTACATATATATATATATACATATCTGAATATATAAACTTACATATGTAATTAACAATAACAATTATGTGTGTAGGTGTGTTTATGTATATGTGTTTATGTAAATGTATATATATATATATGTGTGTGTGTGTGTGTTTTCTCTTTTTCTTTGTGTATGTGCAGCACAGGGATACGTATATACTTAGCTGCTCAGTAGAATTGTGTTATTAGAGGGAAGGGATTTGTATTCTGCGCCAGTGCGTGCTTGTATCGCTGTTGGTACAGTTGGCGTATGGCCATGGCTAAGTTGGACACTACTAGCCTGGTTATATCACTCGCTCACTGGTTTGAGGTGGTTCCCCGTTAAGCTTCTAAATCACCCAAGCACTGAAATAATATATCATACCAACACTCCCCTGTCTCCCATACATAGGAAAGGAATACCAACTGTTAAACGTGGATGATCACCAGAATGTACTGAGAAAGAACAACAGAGCACTGGCTGACTCTCGACCGGACATCACGCATCAGATGATGTTAGCTCTGATGGATAGTCCCTTAAATAAAGCCGGTCTGCTACAGGTACGTGAACAGTGTCTGTGTAGACTGATGTGTAGTGTCTTCCTAATGCCTCACCCTGAAGGGTTGGCTGTCTGGGCATATCGGCATGATTGTTCAGGTTTTTGGCGTTGAGTTGTCCCTGTACAGCCATGCCTACGAATATACGAACTCATCTTCGATACTTCTACCCTCATGCTTGTTCCGTGCCCATTATCAAGTAACCTCGCGTGGTGAAGGGCTCGTCCCGTGTTATTTGTATCCATACTACTTCATTTAGGGTACCTATCTATAGACTTCTAAGATCAGTATATTGTGCAACACTTTAGGTTTACATACACACCGAGAAAGGAGTACTGATTGAGATCAACCCCCGCACTCGAATTCCCCGTACCTTTAAGCGGTTTTCAGGTTTAATGGGTATGTTATGTTCAGGGCAAGCGTGCACTTTGGCTTATACCTCAATGACTGTGCTGCTGGGTTCTATATTGGCATGAATATGATGTATTTTCTACTGTGTGGATAGTGTTGTTTGATGTGTGAACTGCAGTTTAGTCAAACTTTCTAGCAGCAAATAAGATTAACCATTCTTAGTACTTGCCAATTTTGTTGTATTCATCTCGCGCTTCCTGTTTGTCTACCTTGTTTGGTTCTTATGGTTTGTGGTTTTTAGAACTCTGCATATGTATGTGTATATGTATTTATATGTATATATTTATGTGTGCGTATATATATATATGTGTGTGTGTGTGTATGCGTGTCTGTATATAGACGTGTGTGTGTGCAACTAATTACATATATATATGTGTGTGCATGTGCGTATGCGTGCTTGTTTGCCCAATTAGTCTGTTTGACTGTTTATATGTATATGAATGTTCTCGAAGTAGTTTATTTCGAGACACTACGACTTGTCATTTGTCATCATCCATTCGGGGTTTTTAAGGCATACCTACACGTTTGAATCTACTGCACACACGAGATTGCCTCTCTGTACCGCCGCATAAGCTGGTACACGCCATTATCCTGGCTCCCTCCCATACAATTTCTCACTCGACACGTCTGTTGTCCCCCTCCGATCGCAGTACAACTCCTACACAAGCTCAGCATCAGATCGTCAAACGGACCTGAGAAGCTGATGAAGGTAATAAAGAACCCCATCATAGACCACCTGCCTAATAACTGCCGACGCATCGGCATGTCACACAAGGCACCCAAGACGGTGCGCATTGGCGAGTTCATTGCTACACAGCCCACTGACGAGCCCATTGTGTATGTGATCGGCGGAATGGCCCATGGAAGGTATGAATGGAAATTCACGTATTTAACGGATTGTAATCTGTGTGGGTGTGGGAGTCTTGGTCTGGTTCTGTGGTAGGGTTGAGTGATATATATATATTGATATTGATATTGATATAGATATTGATATATAGATTTTTACCATATGCGGGGTACACGTATAGAAGAACGGTA